TATATATATATATATATATATATATATATATATATGAGCAGAGGGCCAATTTAGTGTGTCAGCATCAATTCTGGCTGTGCAAGGAAGTGTATGGGTTGTGCTTTGGTCACCACAAAACTTCATGATAAAGAGTACGTCGACATCATCATGTGGATCGCTTCGGTGTCCCGTTCGCCAAGTGGGTGATGCCAAAGGATATTTTATCCCTTGAATGCACTGCACTGGAAGATGCTGATCGTATGTCTAATAAAAATAGAGATGAGCTAGAAATGTATTAATTAAAAAGACTTTATCTCCCATTAAAACGTAAAAAGTTATAAATATTATAAATTTAAATAAGGGGTTTAAGAAAAATTATAAAGAACACCATCGTAAATATGTTTCTTAACCTTGTGCACGACGAAAACATGCAAGCGTGCGACATGACATGACACAATATCTCTACGACTACTTGCACTAGACACACTTAGAAAAGTCCAAAAATAATAATAATAATTTCGAGTTTTTCTTATAAAAGTTAATTGAAACGAGTCTCATATTATTAAAAATTTATAGAGTCCTATATTAGGTTTGACATATAATTTAATTGTTTAAATGATGTTGAAATCTCATTATACGGTAGTCTATATCAACTTAACTTCAACTTCAATGCTTTAAGAAAAGATTCCAACATGATTAGTTGATATCACAAACATCAAAACAATAGCATGGCCAAACTTGCTATGACTTCTTCAACCTCAACAACGGTACCCCAATCAAAGTGCATGTCATCTATTTCTTTAAAGATGATCCTTTATCATAATGGAGGCTTTTTTTCTCACATCATAATGATATCCATGTTGTTGACTACCAACAACTCATATGTATTTCCATATGTGATTTTATTTCTATTTTGTCCTTTATTAATCTTCTAAAGAGGCATAAAGTGATTTGATCAAAAGTTTCAAGCACTTAAACTTGTCGGAATAATTATTTTACATCTAGAGGGTTTCTCATCGATCGATTTCAATAACGGTAAAAAAATTTAATAATGAACTATTTATTTATTTATTACTATCTAAATTTATGTTTGTGCTTCTCGAATAAGAACTACTACATGGTCATATCAATGGGGAATAATTTGGGATGCAATCATAAAAATTCCATCAAAAGCACCTAAAAAACATGGTTACTATCTATTTTTTAAGATGGGTGTATTTTCTTGCTCTTATAACTATCTATTTTTTTAACTAAGAGATGAATTCGTGGTATGAAAATTGGAGGATCATTAAAACAATGCAAAAAATTTCAATTTCTCTATAGATTATGACTAATTTCATTGCACTAGAAAAAAATTAGAGGAGGAATAAAAGGCTAATTTTATCGACGCATAACATAATGCAAAATGATCGATATTATTTTGCGCAAAGAAAAAATTATCACGTCGAGGTTTCAAACCTTTGATAAGATACGTGATACTTTGTATGTACAATTGAGAATTATTGTTTATCTCACTTAGCATAGTTATGTTTCTGATTAATATATCGATGTAAATTTTGGTAGACTTTCAATTTTGGCTTCTAACATTTGTTCATGGAAGAATAAGACACATACTTGAATCTCATATTTCAGGTTGAGCCCAACTCGAGAATGGGCCGAAGCAATTAAAAGCTCAATGTCGAACCAAATCACACAAGAAATCCAACCATGGAGAACTCCCACGGGCATTGTGGCAAGCAAAAATTAGAATGATCTAACATTCGACGAGCTCATAAATAGTTCAAATTCGACACTCAAAAACAGACAAGACGATACGATGAGAATCCTTCGTTTAGAAAGAAAAAAGAATATAATAGTTATACATGTATTTTCTTCTTGATATATATGAGAAAAACTTTCAAAATTTTAGAGACATGCATGGCATCCCAAACAATATCAAACATGATGCTCAGGTAAATTGTTGACATCTTGATCAATCTGATGTGAATTGGATTCATATGTGTAGAGTTATCCGAGGTAAAAACGTAAAGCTCCAAATGTATTATTTGTACGAAGATCAAGATCGAGAAATGCTTCCCAACTCGATCCCTCTGATATTCAAGTTAGTAATATGAGTTCTCAAATATTGGTTCAAGTAATTCAAAAGAAGTCCATATTTTAAATGATAGAATGAAATTTATGATTGCTTTCTTCGTTATAATGGATAAGAAGGAAGCATAATGGATAAGAAGGAAGCTTGTGACCGTCTATCTTATCATAAACAATGAGAAAAAATAATTTATGATTATCAAATGAAAGTAAATTTACATTTGCCTACTTTAAATCTTTATTCACTAGTGAGATAACTTAGGATCTCTATTCCCTATCAACTTCTATTATGGAAATTGTAGCTCGGTTTGCATTGATACAGCCCTTCCTCGATTGCGACCATCTCGCTCTACCAACTATTTTTGTCATACAAAAGTTTGCCTCTAATGTAATGACTTCCTGCGTAGGAGCCTCAAATTATGAGGCTTTTCCCACAACCCAATCATTGTACGATCTACAGAATCTATAACAAAGAGATGCGCGTAGATGTCAATCTTCGTACGATCCACCCGTCTTCATCTTGAACAGAAGAAGAAGAAGATAAACATAGATGTTGGTGAGGAGAGATCCTCATGTGCATAGCAAATCATGTTAAAAAGAAGATGAAATCTAAAGCTTTAAGAGACAGAGAAATGAATCCGATGGAGCCAACATTCGATTTTAAGTGAGATCTTTATCCCGATTAACTATAAGGAAATGGAAGAAATGAACAACTTTGATCTATACTTCACTTACTTTTAGTGAGAATAGTATTAGAGTTCATGATCTAATATTTCACATGCATAGACAGAGGAGTCCTTTCGATCGACACTTTCTTCCACCATCTTCCATCGGAGAAGAAGTTCTTGAAACCCCATATGTACACTTACACTACAAGGTTGGAGTACAATGTTATTGTCATGCACAAGAAGAAGAAGAAGACGATGAACGGGGAACAGCTGCTACTGCAGCTCTCTGTTCGAATCCTCCTACCTCCTCTTCCACCACTTCATTGGCGGCGGTGATGTTGAAGCAACTCCGTCGAGTCACAGGAGGACGTTCGTCGGGAGGCGCGGGCTGATGGCCTCCAAGCCGTCGCTTCCGCTGCTCGGATGGGTTGGACTCCTCCGTCTTTGATCTCCTCACCATTTCCCACATCACCTGCACATCTTCGTACTCGCACGTTTGAACGTCGTCGTGAAGCTTCAGAATCCCATCGCCTGTGTCCAACAAATAACATAAGAGACGATTATGCTGAGACCCATCGATCGATCGATCGATGGGTTGCCGTCTCCAAAATCTCGTAATGATCACAAAGTCAGGAATCAAGATTCCCAGAAGGGCGCACAACCTGCTCTGCCCACGGCCTGAACCTTGGCGGACACTCCGATGCCACCACGGCCTGCAAGTTAGCGAGCAAACAACACAGCATCAAATCCACGGTTGGAAGACGATGAATTGGGGAGTCCATACGATACATAGTTCAGTAAAGCAACGAGAGAACGCTATCCGTATGAGGGTGAGCTTACCGTGCTTGCAGGCTTTGACCCGGGCGGCGATGGCGACCCAGGCGCGCTTCACCGGGAGCACCACCTTCTTGTCCCACCACGGCATCATCACCTTCTGCCGCTCCTCCTCCTCCTTTTCCTCCTCCTCTGCTTTCCCCCAACAGTAAACCATAGTGCTTTCTCTCTCTCTCTCTCTCTCTCTCTCTCTTCCTCTCCATTTAAGGGGCGGTATTTCCTGTGTACGTATAATTATTATACGCCTCATGGAGACGGGTTGGTCAAAAGGTGATGACCGCACCTTAGAGGAAACGGCGTCCGGTTTCCCGGTCCTCACCGGGCTTTTGGCTTCGAGCGCGGGGGTGCGGCAACCGCCACGCGGCTGTAAGCGGCACACCTCCGCCCACGTCACCTTCTCACGTCAGAGAACGCCACGCGACCCCATTTTTAGGTTGGACCATTGAGGGAGTGAAGCGGTCACATCGGCCACCTCGCCGATTCATCGGATGGGGGCTTTGGGGCGAGTGGGGTTGGCAAGCAACGCATTAAAGCTCCCGAGGAGCCAATTGGAATGAGACTCTAATCGAATCATCCCACCATATACCTAAACGAAGAAATCATTCTAATTAAAGCAGGCAGGCCAAAAATCTCATCACAATCCTCCGTGATTAAGCATGTCAAACAAATATCTTAATGCATGTATATGTATATTTTTAACAAATAATGAAGACAAGATTTGCTCTTTAAATCTTTCTATAAAATCAAATTAGTCAAATAAAAATGTTAATGCATACACACACATATATATATGTTATTTATTTATACATCTTATTTTTTTATAAAAAAGGAAGAAAGATGAAGATGAGAATTGAGTATAATAAAACCTCACTAAAATATTTCAACTAAGATTGTTCAAGTTTTAAAGATTGAAACATAAGATTTCAGATTCCCAATTAATAAAGTTGAGTTCATCACACACACACATATATATATATATATATATATATATATATATATATATATATATATATATATATAAGCTTACCATCTAATATTCTAATGGCTATGTTTATCTCTCGATCTGACGTAATCTTTGTGTCACCCTTAATACGTGTTGGGTTGCCGGTCGCCGAGGAATCGCCGTAGAGAACATCCCGGAGGATCCGAGAGGGACGGCACACCCAATGAGTCGTCGCCGGGGACGAAGCTCTTTTCGCCGTAATCCGCAGCACGCGTTGACATATGTGCACCGACATTCGACCGGATGTGTCCGCACAGCCGTCCGATTCGACGACTTCCATTGGTGCGATCTCAGTCACCTGACGCACGTGTTGAGACCAAGAAATGGATTGGCGCGGTGATCATTTCGTTCGAGGAGGATACGTTATCTTATTACTAATGATGCATGTCATTCCACTATGTTGGAGAATCTACACAGTGTCGATATTCCATAGCACACATCCTTATTTTATTACTCTCTCATTCGAGATGTATTTTTTCTTTTTCCATCTGTACTTTTATCTCGATTATTCATGTTAATATCATTAATTTTTTGTCGTCGTCGTTGTGCTCGAGACGAAAGAGTTGAGTCTAACTAGCTTAAGATCTTACCATCATCGTTATATGTTTTGACCTAAGTAATATAGAAAATATTCAACGATGCTCATTCATTCGATGCTTAAGTCAATCGATCACTTAATTTTAAAGTTCTTTATATCTATAACCGAGTGTTTTTATGAATTTTATTTTTTTAAATTTAGATGGTTAGAATAATTGAGGAAATTATTATAGTGAGGGATGACATGGCTGATAGTCGCTGACGTGGCTTTGGACGTGTCTGGCTCCGGTTATCGGGATATCAAAGTGGAGTCTCAGTGCGGAACAGTGGTGCATCCAAAGACCCTTTCTGCTGCGTTTGGCAGGCAAACACAACATGTACTCCATGAATACTTGGGATAAAGATGAAGATGAGAGACCTAAAAGAATTATTTGGGACGTATACATGCATGAGTTGGTGCTGAAGCAGCCCACGTCACAGGATGAGAAAGATTGAAGCTGAAGTAATGGGTGACTACTCTGGAGGAGGACTGCAAGACGGGGAGGGAGAGTCGGTCGTTCCAGCAAACGCATTGCCGTCTGATGCAAATGGATGACTCAGACTCTGCTTCTTCTTCTTCTTCTTCTTCCTCGTCAGTTGGATTGCATGGGATTCCTTCCGCGTCAAGCATGAGATGGTCCCCAGAGTTCCACCCAGCCAAGCAATAACGGGCAGTCCATGTTCAGTGCGCGCAAAAGCTGTTTCCTGCGCCTCATGGCACTCTTTGACGACGAGCAGCACCGTTCCTTTGACGTCGATGCCTCCACTGACGATGGCTCGAGTGAAACCACGGGAGGAGGAAAAGGTGCATGCAGGTCCTCAACGCGTGGACCGAAATGGAAGATGCTTCTCTTCGTGAGGTCATGAAGGCAAGTGTCGCATGCGTTCCTCGAGGTTGACGTCATCATGAGAGAGAGAGAGAGATGGAATGATGGCTTTTGTGACTCTATTCTTTCAACTCTTTGGAAGAGGAAAGTTTGCTTCTTCCATCTCCTCTCACTCTTCCATTACCGCCATAAGCTGTTTTGTATGGCAAGTGGCCGTGGTTTTGGATTGGATTGGAGAAGGAATCAGCAAAAGCATGAGCACGAATGATTCCCATAAATGAACTTTTAGCCGCACTAAGTTCGTCTAGAAAGTCTTTTTTCTTTTCTTTTTCTTTTCTCTTCTTTTCTTTGGTATTAAGGAAAAGACGTGAAGGATGTTAATGTTGATCGAGATTACATTCTCAGGATTTCTTTGCTTCCTAATTCTGGATGATGATAGGATGAGGACCTTTCTAGAGAGAGAGAGAGAGAGAGAGAGGAGGACGTA